TGCGTGTCTGTGCCTCCCGCTGTCACAAACAGAAGAGGACGGCCAGGTTCCCCTTCCTGCTCCTATCCTTTCATCAGAGAAAACTGATTGCTTCAGTTAGATCCCAAATCAACTAGCACCTTTAAAAACACCATCGTCATTTCTGTACATTTCCATCCAGCCTGGGACTCTACTCTTCACTGCTTCTGGGTTAGAGCTGAAAATAGCCCTCCGAGTGCAACTCAAGTCACAGCGTCCCCAAGGTCAGCTAAGTTATTTAGGCACCTGAGGTAGAAAAAATCCTACTAAGACCTCTCTTCCCTTCCTTGGCAGCAACATTATTATTACCATTAAAATGACTTAAACATTCTTATTTACATAACTAATTATTTAAATAAGTCACCGCTTAAGTTGGAGAACTCATGCTGCCAAGGAGCAGGGCCGACCTTGCCTGCAGTTGTGTGCAGTTTCTGCCTCTGATGCATCTGGACTGTGTCAGCATCAGTAGGATGGCCGCTTACGCATCACTGTAAAAGAGGGCACAGGAATGGCCTGATTCAGATTCATACAGACCAGCTTTCGAAAAAACTACTGTTACTTCGCAGAAATACGTGTCCCCTTAGTGGGTACCATGGTGACCCAGTGACCTGAATGCTGTCCTGCATCTGCTCTTGTCCGAGTGCTTGCTGCAGGTGCACAGCTTCGGGGCCTTCCGTGTCCTCCCTCTTTATGGCTCTTGATCTTTAAATGTGACTTGAACTAGACACGGGACTCTTTGAAAGAGCAGACGGGCTTCTGACCGCCCTTCAAATAGAGGGCTCTCCACTGTAGGACTGCAGATACGGCTTGTCCGTGCCCTCGGCCTGTCCCCACCATGGACAGAAGCTGCTTCTCTTCTCTTCTCTTCTCTTCTCTTCTCTTCTCTTCTCTTCTCTTCTCTTCTCTTCTCTTCTCTTCTTTGGTGAAATGTTGGAGGGAATGGTCATAAGGGACTTAGGCTGCACTGTGTAGGATTTACTTAAATATGTAAGCTGAGGATACAACAATGCATCCTCAATGTTGTGACTGTTAAATGCCTACAGTGTAGGTTGGGGCTGGGGGAGCCTTAGAGCTTCATGGTGTGACCCATGGATGGCTGAGCACCATCCACTGGCTGTTCCTCTCCCTCCTCATGCTCTGGGAGGGGAGAGCAACCCCATTATTCTTTCTGATCAGTGAGGATTCATTGCTCTCTGTGTGCCCCCCCCCCCCCACAATAGGAAGGCATGCAATATACAGGGAATTCCCTTTGTGATCCCTCTGGGGAGAAGGAATCAGTAAAGTTGTTTCCTCCATGAAGAAAGAGGCACTGAACTCCATGAGCAAGATGTGATTGGATATCTCAAGTAGCCTGGGACGATGCCACAGCAGTGTGACATCCTTTGACATCATCTGCCCCCCTGGCTTGGTCCAAGGAGGCAATCAAATACCCAGACCAAAAAATGTTGCTTTCCTTGACCCTTACATAAGCAAACTTGTCAAGGAAAGGTGCTTAACCCCGTTGAGTTGGACTTGCCTCTGTGCAAAGCACAACATGCCCCTTGCTTTGCTGGGTCCTGGGAAAACAGATCAGCATTGGACCTCCTGGTGGTAGGTGTGACTTTTTAACGGTATTAACAGAGATGCATCTTCTTTATTTTTTCCAGAAAGGTGTGAGTCTATTACTGTTTATAACTGAATATGCCATTCTCCTGGTCAGAAAAACAGCCAATCAGAAACCCTTCCTCAGTTCCTCCCCATTGAGAGCTTTCCCTATGGCAACAGGTTTTTTTCCCTTCCTACTTCTGGCATAGAATATTTGTGACTCTGGCAAGCTCTCTTCATTCTTGCAGCTTTAGTAAACAGTAATTCATTGATAGCGGACCGTAATGAGTCTGGTATTTTGTTTCCCACGTCCTTACTTCTCTGCTTTATTCTTTGTTAATGCAATATGTCTGAAAGTCACAAGACTTTAAAAGAGAATCTGCTTTGGAGGTTTTTCAGGACAGCATGGGTGGGTCCCATCTCTGAACTTTTGCTTTTCAAAAAGGAGAGGTAGAAATGCATTTCAAGAGATCTCACTAAAAATCCCTGGTTAAGAATGGTCCAAGTTGCCCTGCTGAAAAGGGAAACTGAAATGAATGGCTTTGTATGCCTTTAAGGTGACTATCTTGCAAAAGACTATCTTGCAAAAGACTATCACCACAGCTGCCCTCTTCTGAGCATCAGGTCTCACTGTTGTGAGCTATTTATGGTTGCTCATAAACAGATTTTCTTCCAGCTCGCATAGTGGTGGTAAATTGTGGTTTAGGTGAGGGAATGAGTCATTATGGAGAACACTGAAATTAGTGATGCTTTAGAAGTAGGGCAGACCCAAGACCTTTTTCTACCTGAGCCAGTATCAAGGGTAGGTGTGGCCGGGCACCTGCTGAAGGCCCCACTGACAAGGACCCACAGGGCTTGTCCCTCCTCCACACCTTTGCTACCTGCTTGTTCACCTGTCTCTCACTCTGGGCCAAGCAATGGTGGTGGAGAGCAGCAGGAACAGACTGTGTTGTTGGCTACTGGCTCCCTGGCTCTCTGTCGGTCAAGCAAGCACGTGGCAGTGATGACGATAAGGAGGGTGAGGGGCAAGAGCCACTGTGCGAGGGGCAATGAGAAGTCGGACCACTGATCGGGGTGATGCCTTGTCCAAGAGCCCCGCAAAACCAGGAACCAGCGGTACCTGAAGCAAAGGAACAGATGGTGTCCTGCCTCACTGTGCCGTGTGCATAGTTCAGTTGGATGACAAGTCGATCTGACATCAACATTAGCAATGGGGAAATGCCCTCTACCACACTTGCAGCGTTGGGCTAGTTTAGGGATCCCAGGAGGGCTTGTGTGGTAGACATGGCTCTGCCTTTGGACAGGTGGCAATCCCTGGGCATTCAGGGCAATCCGCCAGGAAGCTGTGACTCTTGCCTTCAGCATCTGCCACCGGGACAATTGCCCCATTCTGCAAATGCTATGGCTGGGCCTGCATAAAAGTTTGAAAGGTTTGGAGTTGACAGATGGAGTCAAACTGACCTGGAGTTGTCAAATGGAGTCAAACATACCCTATGAAACTTTTATGTCGGTCTTCCACAATTCCATATTTCAGCTGGTTCTCAACCATCATGAGATGTGAGTTGCTATGCAGCATTTTGGGGCTTGGGGGAATGTAAATTTGCTGTAGCAGATACAGGTACAGGCAGCTCAGGAAGCCCCTTTCCTATATGGATATGTGCTGGAAGGACAGGCTATAGGCCAGAGGGGCAGGGAGAAGCTGTTCAGAGCACTTAGGGAAAGATGTATTTGTCAAGGATGTCTTATTTCATTTTAAAAACATTATTTCTTATGCAATATTATAATTAATAATACATTTCACATTCTTGTATCTAGCTTTGTGAGAACTGGAAATATTTGAATGCATAAGATTCTAATTATAATTCCCACCCCACAATACATCAGGGACTATATGTCTAAATGATATATTTGTTTGCACATGCATGCTCTGAAAGATTAAATATATAAATATACTTTCTAATATCCCATAAAGGAGGTGCCCATTCTGCAATTAGCGACACTTTCAGAGGGTACACACTTTTATGGATATGCTAGCTAAGCCAAGATCTATATAAAGTTTCTTAAGTGTATGCGTGGTGAATCAATTAACATTTTAATATGTTTCTCTAGTGGGATGTTCATTGAGATTACAGAAATCCTGTGGGATGGTGCTACAAATTATACCTCTGTGAAATATATTCAGCTCTTTCTCCAGTTGAAAGCATGTGGTTGTCACTAACTACCTGCCCAAACAGAATTCTCCATGGAGCATAATGGTCAATGACTTCAGAGAAATAGTTCATTATTTCTTTTCTTTAAACAGAGTGGCATACAGAACCAAACAGCAGCTCATTTAATGATGGAGGTATAGATCATAATTGCATCGTTCTTGGATGTTAACCCTGCGATGACTTCTATTAAGCGTGTAATCCTTGCTCTGTGGGAGGGCAGAAGATGGACTACAACAGTTGTGGGGAGATGGGCAGAGAGGGGTAAAATCCATTTTGGAAAAGCTCTCCGGCTGCATTTCAGTGCTGGGCAAGGCCAGGCAAAGGAATGGGCCAAAATGAACAAATATCAGCATGCTTTAGCTTAAAGTTCTTACTGCCAGTGACTGTTATTATAGTTAAGTTTATTTCCATACTGCCCAATAGTGGAGGCTGTCTGGTCAGTGTACCACAACAGCTAATCCTTAAGAGAGTGATTTCAGCAGCCTGGGGCCAGGCTATCTGAAGGATTGTCTCATCCTATGTGTACCTATCAAGACCCTGAGGTCACCTTCGGGGTCTTTCTCCAGGAGCCCCTTCGAAAGGTGGCTACCAGAGGTGGGCCTTGTTGGTTGTGGCACCCACCTTATTGAATGAGCTCCCCAGAGAGGTACCCCTGGTACCTCAATGAAGACCATTTTATTCTCCCAGCATTTGCATTTTAACAGTTTAACTTTTTGACTTCTTTTTTTTTTAAATTTTGCATTTTATTCTGTACTACTGCTATATGATTTAATTGCAATTTCTTTGTGTGTTTGTGTATGACAGGTATGTGTTTTAAATTTGTATGTGTGTTAAACACTGTATATGTTTTATATGTGTGTTTTTCTTTTTTCTTTTTTAATTGTTAACTACCTAGAGTCTCCTAGCTATTGGGCAGAAGAAAAATGAAATAAACAAACAAACAAATAAATAAATGCCTTTAAGAACAGGGGAGAAACTGCACAGAAACCAGGAAACTGTCAGATGTGGGACAGAAACAGAGCCTGGCTGGATGAGGCCAAGCAGGAGCCGAGTGCCATGGTTTTGAGGAAAAGGGATTGTTTTCCCAGAGTTCAGAAATACACAAAACTCCCAACTGAACAATTACACCTTCTTTGTAGTAAGATGTAAAAATATTCTTATTTATACTGAGCCTTTCTTCTTCTCCAGACAGATCAGTGATTGCACAGCCAATATTTGTTTTCAAGAAGGAACGGCATTGTAAGGTAAGAGTGGATGCGGCCTCCTTGCACCCTTGTTCAGGGAAAGTATCCTTGGTGGGTGAATGTACGTGGTGAGGGAAACGGGCTTGCAGAGGCAGGCCTTGAGTGTCTGCAGAAAGTCTGCATATATATAATGGCAAGTGAGTATAGAGAGAGCCAGTGTGGTGTAACACTTAATGTGTTGCTTGGGATGAGATCCAGGTCCTCATCCCCAATTGGCCATGAGGCTTACTGGGTGAGTTGGGGCAGTCCCTGATTTTCAGTCTAACCTACCTTGCAGGGGTGTTGTGTGGATAATGGAGAGGAAGATTATGTAAACCATCTCGGTTTCTTGCAGGGAAAATGGCAGGATATATATGGGTGTCTGTGTGATCAAAATCCTAGAAAAGCAAGTTTCCCAGCTGGAAAACCTCTCTGTTCAAATGTTACTCTGAATACACACAGAAAGGGTTTCCACTTCTGTTCTGTGTCCAGTTGTAAAATTGGGGGTATTAGTGGGAATCTTTCAGGACCAGTAAATTATATGAAGCATCGCAGAACTGTGTGTCTAATGAGGGCATCTCTAAAAGTGATTGACACTTGGCAGCTCTCAGTCTGGCTCTAACTAATACTTGTTTTCTTGTCCAGAGGCCTGCAGAAGACCCTGTGTGCAAGACTGAAAATGGTAATTGTGGGTTTTTCCTTAAAGAAATTTGCTGGCACGGGCTTGTTCTGAATGTTGTAATATCCTTTTCTTTGGTGGCTAGAGATTTGCCTTCATCACCCACCCTAACCCACCCCCTGCCTAGGTTCAGGAATTACCATGCCTAGAAATATCTTTGCGGAGTTCTCTTTTTCATCTGACATGGCACCAAAACAGCTGTTGTGAAGATTCTTGCTCTTTTTTGAATGTGTGTGTGTGTGAACCAAAACATACAAAATATATTTTTACTCAGTTTATATAAAACTGAATACATATATATTGACACATATTTTGTATATTAAATCCAGTTATAAGAAACACATGAGTAATATCTAACACATGTGTTTTGTTATTCCAGGAATGAATAAAGGCCAAATGTTTAATTAAATCTTTCACATTATTATTTCTGTTTCTTCAATTTGTATCCCCATTCTCAGTTCAGTGGGAGGCTACAGAAGGATTTTGGGAGTATGAGGACAGGTTCTGGGAAGGTGTCAGGGAAACTTCCCATCTGTTTCCAGTTACTACCACCAAGCTGTCTACAAGGAATCAGGTTCACTCTGGACATAATCTACTTGGTGGAGGATACAGGCACACAGTCTTGAGATAACAGGCCAGTAGGAGCCTGGCCACAGACCATAACCAGAACTAGTGCAGCTGGACAGCCTCAGTAATTCCAGCTCAGATGCCCAAATGGATGGGGCACCAGTTTGCCCCCCGTCCCTTTTTATGCTAGGACCCAGGGTTTCCCTACAAGATGCATTTAGGGAAATGGTAGTTTGCAGGTGTTTTACACAAGATTGTTGCCCTGACAGCCCTCTCCTGCACTGTCCAAGCATTTCTGCGGCTTCTTTAGAGCAAGGAAGATGAAGTATTAAATTTCCAGCGTGGCACACATTGGAATGAAAGGCTTGTGAATTGTTGCAGTTCTACTGTACTGCAACTATCCTGCAGCGCCACCTTGTGGTAGTACAATGGAACACATTAGTAATTTTATGAGTTCAAGTTCAACTTCTGGTGACCCTTTGAATGAGTGGCCTCCCAAGTGTCCAGTGCTTGACAGCCCTGCTCAGCTCTTGCAAACAGGGCTATGAGGCAGAAGAAACAAAACACCAGAAAAGAGCATGACTGAGACAAGCTGATCTTAATCATGCAAAGAATCCAGAAACAGAAGCCTCGTTAAAGGGGTAGATTAAAAGCCTTGTGTAGGGAAGCTTGAAAGATAGCCTTGTCTTGTTTAGAGAGGAGCTTTGACCAACCAGCTACCCCCTTCCAATTACACAAGAGTCAGTGAATGGGTTAATTTTAGGGGCCTGGTGCAGGCAGACTTCTCACTTTCAAGGTCAAGAATGCTTAGGATGAAATGTGCCACTTCTGTCGAAGATTATACACACTTTATTGGATACCATTTTGAAATATGGAAGCAAACTATAAAAGAAGCAGAAAAGAATTCTTACATGCCCCTCTTTCTGTGCCCATGTCAGTTCCCTGAATACTCCAGGGGATCATTTGTGGACCGCCAAAGTTGTCCAGGTAAACAATGCTAAGAATGTTTTCTCCAAACTGGAAAGAAAGGACACATCTGTTGCCATGGATTCTGCAAAGATTTATAAAGTTCCACTCTCCCACTGTTTTGGATGTTGATATACATTACAAAATCGGTGCACAAGCACCTTGAAGAAAATTCAGTGGTTAATAAAAGCTAGCATAAAGGTAAAGGTAAAGGTAAAGGTAAAGGTAAAGGTTTCCCCTTGATGTCAAGTCCAGTCATGCCTGACTCTGGGGGGCGGTGCTCATCTCTGTTTCCTAGCCGAGGGAGCCAGCGTTTGTCCGCAGACAGTCTTCATGGTCATGTGGCTGGCATGACTAAACACCAAAGTGCACGGAACGCTGTTACCTGCCCACCGAAGTGGTACCTTTTTATCTACTTGCTTTTGCATGCTTTCGAACTGCAAGGTTGGCAGGAGCTGGGACGGAGCAATGGGAACTCACCCCGTTGTGCAGATTTGAACTGGCGACCTTTCGATAACCAGCCCAGCAGCACAGCAGTTTAAACCACTGCGCCACCTGCATCCCTTAAAGCCAGCATAGAATTCTCAAAAATAAAATCTGTCAGACTAATTTAATCTCATTTTTTGACTGTGTAACATCCCAAACAGACAGAGGGAACACTGTGGACATATGTACCTTTGAGTTTAGCAAAGCTTTTGACATAGTGTCCCACAACATTTTGATAAGTAAATTAACAAAAAGTAGACTAGATAGAAAAACCATTAGGTGGATCCAAAATTGGCTGCTAAATCAGACACAAAGAGTATTCATCAATGGCACCTTTCCAAACTGGAGGGAGGTAACTAGTGGGGTGATGCAGAGTTCAGTCCTGAGGCAGCGCTCTTCAATATCTGTATTAAATATTTAGATGAGGAAGCACAAGGAAAGATAATCAGATTTGCAGAACTGGGTGAAATAACCCTAGAAGACAGAATGAAGATCCAGGGTGATCTTGATCAACTTGAAAGCTGGGCTGAGAGCAACAGAATGAGATGCAATAAGGACAAGTGCCAAGCCCTCCACCTAGGGAAAAGAAACCAAAGGCATTGATACAAGATGTGGAATACCTGGCTCAACAGAACTGAAAAAGAAAAATACCTGGGAGTAATTGTAGACAATAGGCTAAACATGAGCCAACAAGAGGAGGGCAACAAAAATGATGCAGGGTTTGGAAACACTGCCCTATGAGGAGAGACTGAGAGAACTGGGCATGCTCAGGATTGAGAAGAGAAGCCTGAGGGGGGACATGATATCCCTCTATAAGTACCTCAAAGGCTTCCACAGAGAGGAAGGTCAAGATCTTTTTTTGCTAATGCCAGAGAGTAGGACATGGAATAATCAAGTTGCGATAACCCAGATTCAGGCTAGATATCGGGAAAAGCTTCCTCACGGTCAGAGCAGTATGACTGCCTAGAGAGGTGGTGGGCTCTCTCGCACTAGAGACATTCAAGGCAAAACTAGACAGTCATCTGAGTGGGATGGTGTAACGTGGTGTCCTGCAACAACAAGGGGTTGGACTATTTTCCGGGAGCCGTGTGTATGTGTGTGTGAGAGAGAGAGAGAGAATGAGAGAGAGAGAGAGAGAGAGAGAGAGAGAGAGAGAGAGAGAGAGAGAGACTGGTTCAGAAAAAGAACCCATTTTGGTACTCGTGGCCAAAGACAGCTCTTTTCTACAGAATATACTTGGCGAAGGAGCTTCAAGGCAATTGTCTCTTCCCCTTCCTTGGCATGGCTCAAAGAAGCAATCCTAACTTTTAGACACCTGTTAATCACCTGTTGCACCTTAATGAGCTCCTCATCATTCTTCTAGTAGGGCCCATCCAACACAGACAAGAAAAGTATACTAGCAAATTTACACTTCCTTTGTGAGCTTTGTCTTGGATTCTTGTAACGTCCTGCATTGCTCCAGTTGAGAGGACTTGAACTGCAGGGTGATTTGATGTGGGTTTGGTTTTTTTTTTCTCTTTAGTTTCCATCAATTGTTCCAGGAAGCGTGCAAGATCTTCATCTTTTTCTTTTCAATCCTCAGACTCCCAGTTGTACACAGGTAGGCCTCTTACCCTTTTCCATTTTCAGCAGTGTATTTACATTGGAAGTAGCATCCTGCCAAAGTCTTGTGTGGAACTGTACTCACTAGACTTAACAGAAATTAAATGCAGCTGAATGCATTAGCTCCCAGGAATTAAGCACAGTGTGAAATGGATGATGCAGGAACCGTGGTGCAATGCACGTGGCAGAAACTGTAACATACCTGCCATATTTTCTTATTAAAAACATGCTACTATAATCAGATCTGCATATAGGAATAATTACATTTGCTAAAATTATACAGTGTAGTATGTTGTTGGGGAAAGTATGACTTGCTTCTTGTATTTCCAGAAAGTGTGCTCTCCAAAAAGCACATGAGATCGTCTTCCGTTACTATTCTTCCAACATTTCCACCATCCCAGCCAGGTAAGCTCAACCAATCGATTCATACGATCAGTATCTTATTGCAAACAGTTGTGCTATTGTTATATCAATATGGACTTCACCACAACACAAATTTATTGTGTGCTCATAATTTCTCGCTCATTCAAGTTTGTGGGAACTGTACATGTTGTCCTCCTTAACACCATCCCTATTCTAGGTCTGAAATACCCATGCCTGAACACCAATTTTCAAAAGGCCAGTGTTGTGGATGCCTTCTGCACAGCTCATTCTTTTTGTGCATTCTGAAGATGCTCCAAGCCTCAATGGCTACGTGTGGACCTTGGTTATTCTAACACTAACCTAGCATTGAACTACCCATTTGTAAAGAGAGTTCTCAAAAATGCCTGTTTCCTGGATGTTTTTCTGCACAGCTCGTTCTTTCTGCCATCCTAAACCTGTTCCAAATGTCAAAAGTTTCAGAGGGGCTAGGTTTTACAAAGCCATGCCTAAGCTGGACCTAAACCCTAACCCAATGTAGGGTTACAATACCCATGACGGAAGATCAATTTTCAAAATGCCCTTGTGGGTGTTTTTCCACGCAGCTCATTCTTTCTGCCCATTCTAAACTCACTCCAAACTTTGACAGCTTGACAAGGACCTTGGCTTTGCTAACCCTAACCCTAACTTATACGTCAACCCTAACCTTAATATATTGCTGAAACATCTCAGCCCCAATTTGAATTTCCAAAATGCAGATTTTGCACAGCTCATTCTTTCTGCCCATTCTGAGCATGTTCCAAGGTTTGAACACTTTATGTGGATCTTGGTTTTTCTAACACTAACCCTATTTTGGACCAAAACCCTTACCCTAATATAGGACTCAAATATCCTTTTCTGAACACTGATTTCCAAAATGTCCATTTTGTGGATGGTTTTCTTGCACAGCTCATTCTTTCTGCCCATCCTAAACCTCTTACAAGACCTGATAGCTACTATAGTTTTGCAACTCTAAGATATCACTCTTATAGTACAGTGCCACCTTGTGGTTGTTTATATACAAAATGGCAGCAAAAGCAAAATCCAGGGGGGAAAACATGGAAAAAGGAGCTGCACTGAATCCCTCAAAGTGTAAACAAAAGCCTCAGTAAACAGGTGATTAAAAGCCTCATGTAGAGAACCCAGATAGAAAAGTTTGGAGTCTTCTTGGTTAAAGGCTGCTACCTCTAAGGGCAAAATCACACATTAGTCTTCAAAAAGTTTTTTCTTAAACAAGTTTCATTAAACCCTAATTGCATTCAAAACAATATAAAACCTACCCAGTGAGAATGTACATTTTATCTTCTGATCCCTCTCAGTCCTTGATATCATCAATGCAGGGGAAGTGATGTACTGCCTCAGATGAAAATAGTCTATAGGGTAGTCTTATGAAAGATGGAATTAGTGTTAAAAGGTAAAGGTTTCCCCTTGCCATTAAAGCCAGACATGCCTGACTCTAGGGGCAGGTGCTCATCTCCGTTTCCTAGCTGAGGGAGCCAGCGTTTGTCCACAGACAGTCTCTGTGGTCATGTGGCCGGCATGACTAAACACCGAAGTGCACGGAATGCTGTTACCTGCCCACTGAAGTGGTACCTTTTTATCTTCTTGCATTTGCATGCTTTCGAACTGCAAGGTTGGCAGGAGCTGGGACGGAACAACGGGAACTCACCCCATTGTGCAGATTTGAACCGGCAACCTTTCGGTAACCAGCCCAGCAGCACAGCGGTTTAAACCACTGGGGCCCATATTATTTTAATTCATTCTAGATGCATCCTAACATCCCAGCTGATTTAACATTTGAGCAGAAGACTCAAGCAGATATTTTACTGTGGTGTGTGTAAACATTCTAGGCTTTGGGTCAGACTTCCCCAACCTGGTGCCCTTCATTAGCCCCCTTAAACATAGCCAATTGTCAGGGATGTAGTCAAAACACTGGTGGGGACACATGGTGGAGACGGCTGTAATAGCTAATCAGTTTTATTTTATTTCTTTTTTCCCTCTTTGTACAGGCTCTGAATGCAAAATACACACTTTTTAATAATTGCAAAACATTTCTTACAGTGAGACATGGCTCTCTGATTGTTTCTGCAGTGCCATTGCTGTATTTCACTTGATGCCGAATAGGCAGAGTTCTGAAAGGGAAAGCTTCATAAAAACCAGTTAATAGAACTGCAGCAAAAGGGAACAAACTGACTGCATCAAGCACTGTTTGGCTGGATAGTCCACCTTCTAGTACTGTACTTTTCAGGATGACAAGATCCAAGTTGATATTCGGGCTGCCTAGGCACTAATTCTTTTGTCCTGAGCCTGCTCTTCCAGTCAAGCCAGCATTCTTTCATCAGTGAAAGCTGAGAAAAAGGAGGTGGGTTTTGATTAGGACATGACAAGGCTGTTCTAAGCCAGGGGTAGTGTTCTATATAGCCTAATCTTTTCCCCTAGGGCAGTGGCGTGGAAGCTATGGCATGCGTGCCACAGTGGGCAAAGAGAGCTCTCTCGGTCGGCATACAAGCCAAGTTGCCACATAATGCATTGCTCCAGCAGCTGAGCGTCAGATGACATTGCAGATAGGGGCCATGTGCATGCTCAGAAAGGAGCAGTGGTGCCAGGCGATAATGGCACAGTACACAACTCAGAAGCTGCGACTTGTTTGAGCTTTTGCATGGCTGTGGAGTACATAGATATATTTGCTTGGACTGGCTGTGAGGTGTTTTTTCTAAAGTAAAACCTCAGTTTGCAGGTGTTATTGCAGTGGTTGCACTTGGTGATAAATTACAGGGTTTTGGGTTGCAGTTTGGGCACTCGGTCTGTAAAAGGTTCTCCAACACGGGGTTACGATTAGAAAAATGAGGTGTCCTGGCCTGATTTTGATGACTGGAGATTGTTTAGAATGGGCAGAAATGTTGAGGTGTGCAGAAAAAGCTGCTCAAGGAAGGCTTTTTCAAAATAGCCTCTTTTGAATGGAACTTTACCCCATATTCGGGTTAGGGATTTTCACCAGGGTAGGGTTAGGGTTAGAAAACCGAAGTGTCCTGGCATGGGTATGATGGTTGAAATGTGTTTAGAGTGGGCAGAATCGATGAGCTATGCAGAAAGAGCTGCTCAAGGAAGGCTTTTTCAAAATCACCTCTTTTGAATGGAATTTTACCCCCTAAATTAGGGTTTGGGTTGTGCACCAAGCTAGGGTTAGGGTTAGAGAAACCAAGTGTCCTGGCAAGGTTTTGATGGTTGGAATGTGTTTAGAGTGAGCCGAATAGATGAGCTGTTCAGAAAAACTGCTCAAGGAAGGCTTTTTCAAAATCACCTGTTTTCAACCGAACTTTACCCCATAGTCGGGTTAGGGATTTGCACTAGGGTACGGTTAGGGTTAGAAAGGCGAAGTGTCCTGGCATGGTTTTGATGGTTGG